ACTTTTCTTCAACAACCTAGCCGTCCCCGGCAACGGCGCCAAAAACTTGACTCGCTGTTACTGTCACTCTAGAAATTGGCCAAGTGTAACCACTTCCTAAAGCGTAGTATAGCGGGTTTGGGTTTTAATGTCAACCCGGGTCCTAGATGTGATGACTACTCAGTGAATTCGTATTATCTAGCGAGGAAACTTTAGTGAAGGTCTAAACTAACAAGCAAGCAAAACAACTAAACGGTTGTATTCAGGTTAAGAGAGGTCACCCGGATATGGTTCCCCCTAGTCTGCAGTTAAGCCGGATTGTAATTACCAAGTTCAATTTCTATGATAGTTATACTGCGGAAGGTTCTCAAACAGTCTGAAGTCTCGACTAAAGGTCTTCAGACCCTCTCAATCTGAGTCTCTAACTGGCGACTAACCTACACCGGAGTAAACAGATTGAGGCCCTAAGAACAAAACCTCCACTACCGGAATAAAACCGGTACAGAATAGTGAGTTGGTTCCTCGACTAAAGTCACCAACTCCCTACCTTCAATCAAGGATGCTCTATCAACCTAGTCAGATATTCTCATTCTAGGTTAAAGCAGAAACAACAGGAATTTGATCAGGATTCAAGTCATTCAATCATTCAAACCTCAATCGAATATAATCAATTCATAGAAACAGTACTTGGGTTCATACAATCAAACCTAACATACAGAACTAGGGTTTCCCACACCCAGATGAATGGGAGAACTACTCCATGGGGAGAGAAGCAAAAGCAGAATCAGACGCGGAAATCATACTGTGAAGATGGATTTCTGCTCCTGGACGTTGAATCGGCACTTCTCCAAGCTCAAACCAAGCTCCAATGGTGTTGAAGATCGATTTAGGGCACTTGGAGGCTCTTGTTCGTCGCTTTCTCTCTCTAGGAACCGCTCTGTCTCTCAAAAACTCGAATCCCCTTCTGTTTGGCTCGAATTAGGCTTTAAAACCGGTTTTCCCCGAGTTGCACGGCCAGGGTGCACGGCCGTGCACATCACCATTCTGGCCGTGCACCCTGAAACGCGCCGTTTCATTTAAGTCAAACTCATGCTTCTTGCACGGCCAGGTGCACGGCCGTGCAAGTCTGGATTGTGCCCGTGCAAGCTCTCGCACCAACCCGCACGGCCAGGTTTGTATGTTGCACGGCCGTGCGGTACTCTGCTCTGCCCGTGCGTGGCCTCGGCATGAGGCGCACGACCATATGGCTCAAGTGCACGGCCGTGCGTCTCCATGGTCTGGCCATGCGGCTCCCCAACAAGCTCGCCCTTCGTCCGTTCGTCGTCCAATCGACCCCAGACTCGCTCCTAAGCCTTCATTCACGTACTAGGACCTGAAATAACACAAACAAGCACAACCTAGCGTGAAATCGGCCTAAAACACGAGAATCAACACCTCAAACGGAGTAAGAGCAGGGGTAAAAACATGTGTAACTAACGGTCTATCAATAATGCATGGGACAAGATGTTTGGAACGCTCAAATTTGAAAAATTGGGCATAAAATCTAGGTCCAAAACACACACAATATAGGCCAATATTATTCATTCCTCAACAAGTGCTTGGAGCCCTCATAATGTTGAAATTCAGGAAATAACAAGGCTCCAAAGCATTAAATAGAAATGCCATTCATTCACACTCGCATTCAAACGCCATTCACATACACATTCCACACCCCCATACTTAATCACGACATTTTCCTCAATGGAGAAAGAATAAGGGTGGAACGAAGTAACTAAATCATGACGAGTGAATAGTTGACTGTAGAGTGGACCAGTTTCAGGAGAGAGAGAGAGAGAGAGAGAGAGAGAGAGAGAGATAGAGAGAGAGAGAGAAAGAGAGATCTATCACAACGGACAAACAAACACACACACACACATACACAAACTCACCAAAGGTGAAACACAATATTTATAGTTCAAAGAAAAAGAAAATAACAAAGTATTTCAAATTCAACACACGAAAAGGAAATAAAGAGTCAAGTGAAGAGGACGGTGAAATGGTAGTACGGTGCCCAACATGGCACTCAAAGTCGATCATCATCCCGAAGAGGTTGTTGCTAACGAGGAGGAGAGGAATCCCAGTCTGAATCATATAATTTAAGACCCAATTGGTGCATGAGCTCCTCCTCAATGTAATGAGAATGGTGCCAGGCTTTCTGCTCTCTGTCGAGCTTGGACATGATACAAGTGTAGTTTCCTTCAAGAGTAGTAACTCTAGCCTCAAGCTCGGCTGAAGAAGAAGGGACAGCACCCGAATGGGATGAAAAAGCACCGAAAAGTACCTGACAATGCTGTGGTGAAGCTCTATGGGCAACCTCGATCGGCTCCTCTACTGCTATTGTGACTTATCTCAAAAGTCCAGCAGGTCGCAGTCCGACTATGAACTAGAAACCCCTATAGACCTGGATAAGACCCATGTAGCGAAGGGTATTGACTCGCTAAAATTGACACAACTAAACTACAACCAAGTATAATAGTAATTCATAGATGTAGTATAGTGGTTCATGCTCTAATTATCCACCTAGAAGAAGCAATTCTCTCACTAGGCTCCTCCTTATTATTTCAGCTCACTTCCCCTTTTATACCCAGATCGACGGCTTTTCACAGTCCCAGTTCACGGCCGTGAACTCAAATCCTGGACCGTGATCATGAACAAAGCGTGTCGTTTCACTAAAGTAGTTCACGGTCTGGAGCGGATTATCACGGTCGAGTGACCATGATTTCTCGTAAGCTCGCGAGGCTGAAAAGCTTCCCTGGTCAACATGCACTTCACGGTCCTGGCCTCTTTATCACGGTCGACCTGACCGTGAACTTCTGGCTTTCACCGTGATCCTCGACTGTTTGCTCCCTTTGATCCGTTTTTTCCCCTTTTCATCCAACTTTTGTTCCCAAGGCCGATTCTACGTACTAGGATCTAAAATATAATGGAAACAAACACAACTTATCATAAAATCGAACCTCACAGAGTGATAAATCTTTCTTCATTTCATTTTTTTCCTGGTGGGGGTTCCAACTGATAGTTTTCAAGGGCAACCCTTATTGGTTGAGCAAGAGCAATTTCTCTATTTCTGACACTCGAACTTCTTTTAACTCCTTTTCCTAAATTCATGTGGAGGGTCAATGAAATTAGGGGGGGGGGGGGGGGCGGGGGTTGGAAGCTTTATCCGTGCCCTTAAAAAATGCATCCTCAAGTAGGCAATCCGTTCTAAGGAACTTTTACTTTTACTAGAGAGGAACTAACATCACCTTGTAGGAGTACCCCACTAAAGATCAACTAGTGTCTCTTCTAAAACCCGATTTAGTGCAATGAACAATGCCACACATGTTGGGCTTACCCCATGCTTCAAATTCGGACATGGAGCACCAACGGGTTCTTATTAAGCAAATTAGAGCACCCAATCATGATACATGAGTCATCGATACATGGAGCACCAACTGGAAAAGGGACCAGTCGCGGGGAACACAGGCTAAGACAAAACAACCACTATAATTTCAGGGGTGTCCATTCTGCGACCCCGTAATCAATTTGTTGTGTCTGGAGGTAACGAATTCGCAGAACGAGAGCGGGAGCGAAAGCGTGAAAGCATCTATTTTAGAAGAATTTGATATGCAAAGCGTAAAGAGAACGTTATTATTATATTATAAATAATTTTTTATTTTAACATAATTAGAAAATATTGTGCAACATAATGATTAATTAAAATAATTATTAATTTTTTTATCAAATTAATTAAAATTATTAAAACACATGCATATAATGTAATGTAATGATTAAGGGGTCGTTTGGATGGAACTTTCTGGTGAGTCAATTGTGCTTAATTGTCTCAAAATGAAGCAATTGGACTACATTGGCACGTTTGGCCACCAAAAAATGAAATGAACCAATTCTGTATGAGGAAATGTAGATTGCTTCATTTTGGGTCAATTGCAATTACTTGGGTAGGAGGGAGGTTTTGTGAATTGACTCATTTTTGGTTTCCTTTTCCCAAAGTTACCCTTTTCTTTCCTTCCCCTCTCTCTCACCCTCTGCTGAAACCAATCACGAAAACTTTCTTCTTTCCTTCCTTTCTTCTCCCCCCTTTCTCTATCCCCCCCCTCTCTCACGAATATGAGAAGATTAAACCTCAATTCCAAAAATCCATTTACTGATTCTTCAACTACCCATCACAGTTTTCTTTCTCTTCTGTCTTCAATGACACCCTTCATCTTCTCTCTCTTTTTTTTTTTAAGAATCGTCTTCTCTTTTTCTATTTTCCTTCTCTCTGCAGACGAGCAACAATGGCGATTCACAAAATCGCCAGTCTTCTCTTCCCTTTCTGCTCACGATCTAGGCTTCGATGGCGAGTCTCCGACATCTTTTTGTTGACGGGCGAGTCTCGAAGCTCGCCGCCGCCGCCGCCGCCGTAAAGAGATGACTCATCGCCAGCAGAGATGAGGAAAGGGGTTTCTCCAACGCCGTTGAGTTGAGTTTCTGGGCTTCTGAAGCGGAGCGCCTGATTCACGTTATCAATACATATTCCTCCTCTTCGTGTGAATCGCTGTTGTACAAAAAATCGAAACCAGAAAGACAAAAGCTCGACATAAACAGGGTCGAGAAATTTGCAGAAGACGGGTGAAAATCCACTTGTTTCAGCTTTCTCCAACGCTCAACCTTTCTAAGTCACTTGAAAAACTGATTGCATGTGAGTTAATTGGTGAATAAGAGAGGTTCTGATAATAATTTGTGTGCATAATGAACTATCCATAAAGAAAACCAGTAAAAAGAGGAAAAACTTGCAGCAAAACAAAGGATGAGAAAGTTGGAGAAGACAAGGGTAAATTGGTATTTACTCAAAATAACTCATATAGATTTCACCATCTCACAACCTGTTCCAAACGATACATTCTAGACAAATTTCCTCATCAAAATGACTCATTTTCGAAAATGAGTCTTTTGATCTAAATTGACTCATTTTGAGAATGATTCATCCAAACGACCCCTAAGAAATTTGTTGACTGATTTATAATCAAATTTTTAGTGCCATATAGCGAATTCCTAAACCTAAATCACTACTACACGTGAGCGGTGAGCGCCATCTTTCCCTTTCGTTTCTTCCCCGCCGATCCTCTCTATCTCTTTTATCAATAACCAGAAGAAATTGTTCCCCTCTCTCTGGGTTTGGGGAGCTTGTAGGTGCATGCCATTGGTCGAAGTTTTAGCCTTCCCAATATTCAGGTCCAAAGTCGAGCTTTAGCCTCTTCTTCTGTATTGCAATTGTGAATTGAAAATTCTTTCAATCCAAGCCCACACTTCCATCTACTATACACTCGTGAATCCCCCTTCACCTTCTTCGTCCTCATCTGCTTCCGAAATCGATGTTTCCTGGTTTCGCCTCCGATCACCCTGAAGAAATTGCGCAACAGCCAATCATCATCAAAAAGAGTCGTAACTTCATCGCAGCCAATTCTTTTATCCAAACTTCTCTGCTCAAATCCCCGCTCCATCTCCCCTGTTGCTTCCTTGCTGACCCAGGCGTCAACGCTGAAACCATCCTCTCCAGCTTTCAGCTTCTCCCTGTCGAGCATAAACCTGACCGACGATGATGCAGAATTTCAACCGAAGCAGACATTGCATATTATCTCGCCTCGCCTCGCTAACCAAGTCACATGTCCGCTTCCAGGTCTTCATTACCATAATTATCTCCTCTACTTCTCTTCCATGTTCATGCCTTTGGGGGTATTTTGTCGAGCAACTGCGTACTCTGTCTCCTTTTAGCTTACCGCCTTCTGGGTTTCTCTTGTAGAGATTGATTCACACTGTGGTCGAAGGGACATTGCCTGCTGAACCCTACGCTGATGTGAATTCCGGTTCCATGGTTCCACAGAGTTAGTTTTCAACTGTTTCTCCTTAAGCTTGCGGTTTGTTACTTTGATAGCACTTAAAATTGTTACCTGTCTGTCTACTGGGCTAACAGCTCGTGTTCTTGCCACAGAGATAAAAGTGGACATGTCAAAGTGGAAAAAGGTTCAGGCGAAGCTTTATGGTATAACACCTTACCAAATTCCGGATTCGCCGTGGACAGTCTTGAAATGCCTGAGATTCGAAGGTTAGTGTCCTTTCATCCTGTCTTTGGTAGATTTTACATACTTTCTACTATGCCTTTCTTTTGTCTCCTCTGGAAAGCTAACTTCATCCCTCATGTATGCAGGATTTGAGGCCTACCTTGTGGGTGGATGTGTTAGGGATTTAATTTTAAATAGAGTGCCTAAAGATTATGATGTGATCACCACTGCGAATCTTTCACAGGTCGAATGTGTCTCCTTCCCTGTTGTTCTACATTTCCTGATCAATAAAACAAGTGGATTCAGCTCCTGAAGTTCCTTTTCGCTTCTGATTTGGTGACAGATTGAAAAGAAGTTTAGAAATTGCATCATCGTTGGACGAAAATTCCCCATATGCAGGGTGTCTATGAAAGGTTCCGTAGTTGAGGTTAGATATTCTTTGAGCAATTGCTGTGATATTCTCTGCCTTGCACTGATGCATTCCTGTGGACATTCGTGCTGCACTATCTGATGCATGTTCTTATAGGTATCAAGCTTTGACACAGTGGCAAAAGATACTGAAGAAAAGGCTATTCCTTATGAAATGCCGAGTGGCTGCAATAAAAAAGATTTCATACTCTGGAGAAATAGCATTAATCGCGACTTCACAATTAATAGGTAGGTAATAGAAAAGTGCATGGTTCAATATAGAAGCCTACTATTCATTCCATGAAGAAGCTAACCTGTTTACATTATGGGGACTTCTCTAGTATTTGGTATCTGATGTAAAATTCACACTAATTGTGGATGCAGTTTGTTCTTTGATCCTTTCAAGAATGTTATATATGATTATGCAAATGGGATGGAAGATTTGAGGGCGCTGAACGTATGAACTGACTTGCATTTTTCTTTATTTACTAGTTGTGATTGATGTTGAAAGATAAAAGGGTTTTGAAACCTTCTTTCCTAATTGCTTTGGATTATTGTTGCAGTTACAGACTATAATCCCTGCTCGACTGTCATTCCAAGAGGATTGCGGTAGGTGATTCCTCTGTCTCTGTTAATTATTTATATTTTGACAACTGGGAGATTTCTCATGCTATAGCTATTATGTATAAACTCTTTGATGCAGCAAGAATATTACGTGGCTTACGCATTGCCGGTCGCCTCGGCCTATCAATATCACCAGATACTGAAACCGCAGTACATCAACTCTCAACTTCAATTGCAAGTTTGGACAAGGTTGTTTAAGCATATAAACTTTAGTTGTTTATATGGTTCAAGTTTTCTCTTCATCTCACATCTTTTCTTTCTTCACTTGAAATTCCAAAGGACCTACATTTTGTAATGGGCATACATTACAGCTTCTTACCATGTGCATGCATGCTATAAACATGAACTTGTTTCCGGTATCACTTCCAGAATAACCTAAGAAACTGAGAAGTTGCAAAACTTGTTACTTTCTTTGACCTATACAAAAGATGTGGATTCTCTTGCAATTCAGTTCAGGTTAATGTTGGAATTCAACTACATGCTTGCCTATGGAGCCTCGGAGCCTACTATCAGTTTGCTACAGAGATTCAACCTTCTTGGATTATTTTTTCCATTCCATGTCAGTTTCTCCTGGTCCGGTTCTCTTTCTATTTCCTAAATTGGTTTGGTTTCAGTCCAATGACATTGTATAAACTACACCTTATTGCAGGCAGCCTACCTACATCAGCATTGTACTGAGAATTCTCCTATGCATTCCATGATACTAATGGTAAGCTACCCTTAGAGCTTGTTTCAATGTTTTACCCCCTCCTTTTGGAACTCTATTTAAATCATTAATGATGCAGTCAATGAAGGTTTTGGAGCTTTTATGATCATAATTTTATATGTTTTCTTTTTCTGGCAGAAATTATTATTCAATTTGGATAATTTGGTTAGCTGTGATCAGCCTTGCAGCTGCAGTCTTTGGTGTGTACCCTCTGCACTCTCTTCACTTTCTTTTCTCTCAGATTATATCTTGGAAGTTTTCTAGGATGATGATAAACTTTGGTTTTTGAACTGGTTATTTCATGTGAAACTAACAGTTCATTTGTAAATTGCATGCCATCACTGATGAGTAATAATATTTTGTAACACGTTCTAAAGCATATGTGTTTCGTGATTCTCTGCTGGGGAAAGCAACTAATGGTTGATTTTCTCTCTTGTTGTGGGCTGTGGGGGTGCGGGGATGTAACTGAATCAAGAACATGTTAAATATTTGCTCAGAATTTCGTTTGTGTTGGTTGCCGTTGCTACTATTCTTTGGCCTATTTATATCCTGTAACGCTGGCTCTCTTTGGCCTCATTAAAATTTATATGCTTGACAGCTTGATATCAAACACCTGACCTCTATCTTCAATGGACAGGCTTGGAGTATTCGCGGTTCACCAAGCATTAGTTATTAAGCCTCAAGATTTATCAGTAATCTTGCTTTTTGCTTCTGTGCTGCATCACGGGGGTTGGGACAAAGGTCTTAATTTTGTGAGGGAACATTCAAACCTTCAGGTTAATTTTGCACCTGAGATATCACGATTCTCTGAATCTAAGTCAGATGATGAACTTGTGGAGGGCGTAACTCGGTTTGCGTGTCTAGTTCAAGAATGTGTTAGATCGTTCTTTGACAGAGACAAACTTTATGAGTTCATGTCCAGATACCCAGCCACCCCACAGTCTAATATGGTATGTACATTTGAGCTCATGACAATTGTGTAGAAAACAAACCGTCTCAAGTTCAACATGCTTAAGATTTTTTGAATGTTATCACTTCTTCCTGAATCATTTTACGACTTGATGCTCAAGTTTTCACCGCTTACTATTATTTTGTCTTTTTGCTCATAAATTCGAAGTAAAAATGTTTTTTGCTCACTTTGTAGTAAAGTTTTCAGTATGGATATTGTTCAAAAGGTTTTCTACTTTATTTTGGCCATTTCGTTCAATACATTGTGCCTACAACTGGTACGTGTTTGTCCTCTATGGTTGTAATCTTTCATGTCCCCATTTTGATTTTAACTTGTGGTGTCGAATGAGTTGTTATGTATAGCCAGACCCTTTGTGCTCTCGATTTCAAATCTTAGTGTGTGCTGCTCCAGGTATTTGTATCAAAGAAAGCAGGGATGGAGGTCGCTAATCTTTTTGATGCCTTAGTGAAAGGGAACGAATTCCACCAGCACAAACATGGAAGAAAGAGGAACGGTTTGATAATAGATTACAGGAAACTAGGTAAAGGTGATGTGCAAGAAACTAGATTTGCTTTGGGGAAAATTATTTTGGAAACTTTGAGTTGTGGACATGCTGATGGAAGAACAAACATGGAGGATGAGGAAGCAGTGATCCCAGTGGAGGGAGAACTTGGTCAAACACTTCCTGATTTATCGAAGCATCGGACTGTGGCCAATGAGAAAAGAAAGCGAGTCATATCATTTGTTGACGACTGGATATCAAAGCAGGGTTCGAGCAAGAAGTTAAAACTGGTGGATGAGTCTCTGGAGCAGGAGGTAGTCCTAAAGAAGTTGAAAAATCATGTAATAGTCGAAGAGGGATATCGAGATGAAGCTGGCAAGCGTGTGAAGAAGGTGAAGGACAGAAGAAAAGTTGAGAAAATGAAGATGGAACGTAAGAGGGATACGCATATAGTTTTACAGGATATGGTGTCAGAGAGGATCGAGAGGAGAAGTCGCAAAAGCAAACAGGCATCATCTGTTGAGGAAACAGGGAGAATGTATCGACTCTCGTCTCTATTCAGGTGATGGCGAGACTCATTCTACGTGGTGAGTTTGTCACTTGTTGAAAAGCAAGATAAAGCAAAGCAAACAGTCTTGTGCCTGTCGTAGGGTGCTTACCGCAAGATTAGAAGCACGGACAGTAGAGTTTAGCGTGCTTGGCTTTCGACGCTTCTTGTATCAATTTGTTGTAACATGATCTGTGTTGCTCTAGGTGTTGTGATTTTAGGCAAGAGAGAAAGTTGCAGGTATATTCAAATATATGAAGGGAAGTCGCTCGCTGGAGCTCATTTACCCTATTATTTATTATTCGAGTTTTGGTATTCATTCGTTGGCTGTTATTTGAGAAGGAAACTCCATTCCCTTAGTCGTGGCCTCGGCAGCTGTCTCCTGTATCACAACTAGATGTGGTAAATGGATTGGTGGATTTATTGATTGAATCAATTGTATTGGTGGATTATCCATGAATACAAAGGATATCTTAAACCTAAAATGTAAAATGTGAAAAGTTTAGATACGAAAATTTTATAATGAAAAATTTTAGGTTCAAAATCGTAATTTTGTAGTGATATTTTTTGTATAAAAAATTAAATATTAGGTACCAAAATATAAAAAAATAAAAAATTCTAGATACTAAATTATAATTTGCTAATGATCTATGAATCCACCAAACCAATTGAATTTGCATTAAATGGATTAAATTAGCTGGACATTTTTAATGAATTGGATTGATAATTGCCACCTATAGTCACAACAAATTGTCAGCGCCACTTGATTTTTGTGGAGTGAAAAGCCCCTAATAATCTGAAAGCGTGCGAAGGAACGAGGACCTTTTGCGTAGACAGTAGGTGTGTTCAAACGGAGTGGTATTGGCTCTGTTTTCAGAACCGGATTGGAGGCGGAACCTGAAAAGAGAGTGGTTTAGGGTTCATTGGTTAACCATTACAAAACCAATGGTAAACAGTTGATAGAACCGTTCATGATATATAACATACATAGACCTGGCAAATTACAACCAGACCCGAAACCGCCCGAAAACTAGAAATTTTTGTAACCCAAAATCCGAATGACCCGAACCCGATAACCCGTGATTTTTTGGGTCGGGTTGGGTGGGTTAGTGGGTCGACCTATTAGACCCGTTCCATTTTATATATCACTCCCAAAATGATAAAATCACTAATAAATCGGTGAGATGTTTAAAAAAAATCACAAGGATTTTAATGACATGTTTGGAGTTTAAGGATAATCAAATATCATGTGTTTCTTGTAGTAGTATTACTCTTCTGATTGTTTTTGGATGATTTGCGCAATTTGTATTTCATTTTATTAGCATGGGAGGATTTGAGAATATGTTAATTGACATGTGTTAAGTAAACTGTTGTCATGCATATGTGAAAATTTGTGTTCTTTAAGAAAATATGAAGTATGTTTGATATTGTTTCTGAGAACGCTCATAACCCGAAATGACCTGTAACCCGACCTGAAACCGAACGGGTTGGGTCAATATTTAATCCGAAATCAGCCAACCAAATATGACCCGACCCATAACCAAAATTCCCAACCCGAAATTACCCAACCCGACCCGATTGTCAGGTCTAAACATACAAGATTTGTATAATACAATAATTTAAGAATGAAGTTATCATTAACCATAAGTCATTTCAAATTCATATCATCACCAAAATATCTAACAAATCATTCAAACCGTCTCACAAAAAACATCATAAATTTTCTAAATTCAAGTTAAAAATTATGGTGACAGTCGATAGTGGACTAGTAAAGTCGCCAATGAGGTTGGGAAATGAGATGATGAAGCAGTAATAAAATTAATATTTCATGTTTGATGGTCCTAGTTTACGTTAATTTTTTTTTAAATTTGCGGTTAAAATTTGTGAACCAGTGAACAAGTTAAATCGTGGTGGTTCATCTGGTTTAATGTTGAATGTTGAGAAACCGTTTGGTTCATCAATAACCGTCCAAGCAAAGAATTGTACCACTATCGTAACTGGTTTGGCTGTTCTATTGGCCCACCCGTTGATCTAGTTCATTTCTTATAACAATTGGTAACAATTTTAAATGGTAGTATTTCAATAATTTGGTTTTGTTAATTTGGATAATTGGTATAAATTAGTTAAAAATTTTAGTTTTGTTTGATATAGATGATTTGGTTTTATTTGGTTTTACACACTTCTAACCAACCAAACTAACTAAGCAATTAGTCGTATATCTAATAATAATATAATAATATTAAAGGCACAATGATTCGTGCCTAATTCTAATCTTTTTATCCCCGTTTCTCTTTGACGTTTGTGGCAATTGAGCTCCAAAAGGGGTGGTTTTACGCTAGGTTTTTTGTTTTTCAAGGTGTTTCTGAGTCTAACAGGTGTAACGAACCCCGGAGTCGAAAGTTGGAAGAAAAGGAGCAAAGACCAGGCAAAGAGGAGGATTCAGCCGGAGTTCACGGTCCAGCATTGGAGTTCACGGTCGCCAGGACCGTGACCTGGAACCACAAACTGTGAACATCGAATCGTCTAGAGGGGTTTCTGAGGTTACTGACGCCAATATCGTGAACAACGAAGCGTCTAGAGGGGTTTCAAGTAGAGAGAAGCCCCCTTATCTTAAGAGGCTCAAAATTGAGCTGGGTTTTCTTAGGCATTCCATGCCTCCTAATTAGGTTAATGAAGGGCAAACCTCTACTTGAATTAGACACCAAGGTCAATTGTGAATATGTCGTCCAAGCCTTGGTTTGAGGGAGAAGGTAAGTCAACCCTCAATTGCTTGCGGCAAAAGGGCTATAATTGTAGCCTCTAATGCTTACCTTGGCCTAGCGATTGAGAGGACGGTTTCTAACCATTGTTGCACCTCCTATGGGTCACAATTTCCTTGTCACACACCGGTTCATTCGATCCCTCGGTTCATGGTAGTTAGTTAGGGGGAAGCAACACCCTAGTGAACCTTCTCACCAAGAGTTTTCCACCCATTTACTTTTCAAAGTCTTGCTTTTAAATCGTAGATTGTAGATATTTCAACAAACAACAATTCGCTAGATAATGTTTCAAACAATCGAAGTAGGGCTACATGTACCGGCCCGGGTTGATATTTAAAAATACTTGCCCTATATTGCACCCATCTAAGGTTTATACTTGGACCTTAGGTGGGATTTTATTGTGATAGTCGGAGCGAGTCAAGTTTTTGGAGCCGTTGCCGGGGAACTTCGGTCCGTTTTGCTAATTGTGAAGTGTGCTTGTGCTAGACGTGTTGTGTTCTTTAAGTGTGTGCAGGGAGGTGCATGACCCGAAGCAATCCGGCGACTTTAACACCACTGGACGAGGACATTAACCAGACTCTCTGACTTTTAGCCCGAGAGAGGGAGCTAGCGGAGGAAAGAAGGAGAATTGAAGAAAGGGTACAACAAGTTGGTCCCATATTTGAAGGAATTGAAGGAGAAGTTGAAGTTGAGATGACAGGGAATCAACATTGAGGTGCTAATCCGCTTCAAAACCAAAATGAGGAAGCGGGAGCCAAAGATTATGGGCTATTACATGGCTCCACACGGACGGCGGATATCCAATCTCCCATCTTACATCCACCCGCGGTCGCCAACAACTTTGAAATCAAACCCGCTCATGTGACGATGTTTCAAAACAATGCCTTATTCCACGTGCTTGCCAGTGCATCACCGCGAGAGCATGTTCAGAGGCTTCTTGAGCTTGCGGGAAGCCTGAAGGTTATTGTCAACGCTGACCACTCCACCATTTTCTTCTTGATGAACAAGGCCGATGCCAAGCCCCCCCCCCCCTAATCCAGCGGCGGACCACCTCTCGCGAATCGAAGGACCAACAGGGAGCACCCCCCCCCCCCCAAAGAGAGATAAAACCTGGAGCTGCTAGCTAACACGGAAGCAGACACTTACCCCGATGACTGTTGTTCGTGCTTGCAACTGTTGAGAGTGTCGCCCCTTGGTTTTCCGACTTTGCTAATTACTTGGTTGGAAGGCAACTGCCCAAGGGGATGAATACAAATGGGAAAAGAAAGTTCTTCTCCGATCTCCAATACTACTTCTGGGATGATCCCCACCTTTTTCGGATTGCAGCCGATGCGGACCGAGGTGCGTCCCGGAGAAAGAAATGACAGCTATCCTAAGACACTGCCACAAGGGACCAGCTGGAGGCCATCATGGTTCCAACCGAACTGCAAGGAAGGTTCTTCAATCGGGATTCTATTGGTCGTCCCTATTCCGGGATGCCTACACATTTGTGAGTCATTGTGACAGCTTCCAAAGGGCAGGTAATGTGTCTAACTGGAATGAGATGCCCCAAACGATTTCCATTACATGTGAGATTTTTTATGTTTGGGGCATCAACTTTATGGGCCCTTTTCCCTTATCTTTTGGAAACAAGTATATTCTAGTGGCTGTGGACTACGTCTCGAGGTGGTTCGAGGCTCAAGCTCTCCCCACCAATGATGCAAGACGGGTTTCCGGATTTCTTAAAAAACTGTTTTCACGATTTGAAACCCCGAGGGCCATCATCAGTGATCGAGGCACCCATTTTCAGGGGCAATTCGACAAACTCCTCGGTCGCTATGGTGTTACCCACCGGGTGTCAATGACCTATCATCCCCAAACAAGTAGAGTTGTCAAATAGGGAACTGAAAAGGATACTAGAAAAGACCGTGGACCAATCCCGCAAGGATTGGTCTACAAAACTCGATGATGCTCTATGGGTGTACCACGCGGCCTACAAAACCCCAATAGGCGTCTCGCCTTACCAATTGGTTTACGACAAGGCGTGTCATTTTCCCGTAGAGCTAGAGCATAGGGCTTTCTGGGCCACCAAGCTTTTGAATATGGACCCTACTCTTTGTGGAAATGAAAGAAAGTTGCAGGTGCTTGAACTTGAGGAGTGGCGCCTCCAGGCCTATGAGAATACCAAGATTTACAAGGAAAAGACGAAGCGCTTGCATGATGCTAGACTGAAAGGAGGGAAGGATTTTCAATTGGGAGATCGGGTACTCTTGTACAACTCCCGGTTATGATTATTCCTCGGAAAGTTAAGGTTGAAATGGTCGGGCCCGTATGTGGTAATGCAAGTGTTCCCATAAGGGGTGGTTAAGATCTCCCACCCAGAGCAAGGAACTTTCAAAGTGAATGGACACCGCCTCAAACGTTACATTGGAGGAGAGGTAATGCCCCAAAAGGAGGTGGTGTTCCTACAAGATGCCTAGTCCAAAGTATACGTCTAGCTTAAGACGTTAAAGTAGCACTTGTTGGGAGGCAACCCAATGGAGGTTAGAAAGTTTCTCTTGTTCTACTATCATACTGTTATATGTAATAACCTCGCCTCGAGCGAGAATGTGTTGTCTTTGTGTGTGTATTTTTTTCTTCTCCTTGAAGCTCAAATCTCCTACCCCGGAAAAATTCCAACTTTCACTCAACAAGCAATGCCGTAACATCGTTCTACCCCTATCTTACGCCATTGAGGCAATGTCGAACTTAAGTGTGTATGTATGTGTGTGTGGGGGGGGGGGGGGTGGGTAGTTTATTATTATGCTTGTGTGAGTGTGATTGATGCTTGGAGCCTTGATATATGCCCAAATTTGAAAATTTTGAGGGTTCCAAGAAATGTTTGCATGATCAAAGTGGCCGGTTTGTAGGAGAATCTCGTGTTTATTGGCATTGACCTTGAATTGTTGCATGTGATCGAGCATGTCCTATGATGATGACTGAGAGGTGCATTAGGATAGTGCAAAGGTTTAGTTCTCATGTGTGCAAAAATGAATAGATGTCTTGACTCGATTACTTGTTGATTACAATTGCCATGCACTGTGTTTTGTGAATTGGTATAGATGATTGGGTGACTAGGTATCCATGTGAATTTTGCGCCGATCGTTTTCTTCTCGTGTGCTTAGATCCCTCTTACTATGGCGAGTAACATCACAGTTGTCACTAGTGAGTATGATGGAGGCATATGATTAGTCCACACCCAAATTTTGATTGTCCCGAAATGCTTTATCCCCTAGTCAACCCCTTTGAGCCTTGTAACTTTGGAGGTCGTTCTCTTGTAGGAGATTTTTGCTTGTGAACTTAATGGTGTTTGATAGAACAACCCCCATCCTTTCTATACGTGAGTCGTCATTGTGTCCCGGAGCTCCCGCTTTTGAGTTCCATTGAGGTTCTACATAGGAGGATTGTGTGCGGTTCTTGATAGGAATGAAAGAGAAAAGAGTAGTGTTAGAGTAAGTTTTTAAAAGAGAGCATTGGTTGTTAAAGGTAATGTGGGAAGTGTTTTAATCTCTAGTACACCCCCCCCCCCTCAAAAAGAAAAAAAAAAGAGAAAGAGAAAGAAAAGGAAAGTAGAAAGAAAAAGAATCGAAAAATAAGTAATAAAAAGAGGTAGATAAAGTAGAGAGTGCCACAAAAATCAAAAAGTATGCTCTAGGTGGGGTTTCTTGGCATTCAAACCATTGAAACCCCCACATTTTTGTTGAACTCCTTCACTACCAAGTCGAAATGTGATAGCAAGAGTAGAGCGAGGAAGAGCGCGTAAATGTAGTTCATGAGGGTGATAGTTTGGAAGGGACAAGCAAGGTTTTTAGCTGATGCTAGTGGCCATTGTTTGTAGGGAAGGTTCTTAGTCGAAACCATAGAACCTTCGGGTTTAGGGTTAAGATATAGGACCTCGTGTTGTGTTTGACACCACCCAAAAAGCCTTTTTCCCCATGTCCAAGACAATTGCCAGTCATTTGAACCCGTGTCTAAGATCCTCCGGATTACCTAGTGATGAAAACCGTCCCATGAACTCTAACATTTAGAGGTTGCCGTCGTGGTGAAGAGACGATAGGGCCGAGTGTTGATGATTGTGCACATAGGTTGCACTAATAATGTCCTGACCCCACTGGTCAAGAGAGTGAGTGATTCATTCTTGCTATCATACCCCGGTGAGGACCTTTGTTGCCCATTCATTTGTTCCTTGGACTTGAATGTTATGAATGGTTAGTTGTGGTTGATAAGTGATCTTGTTAGGACTTGCATTGATTCATGAACAAGGTGAGAACTTTTCATTTGCCCGTTTTGGTGACCTCGAATGTCGTTTGTGGTGGATGTCGGTATTGCTTGCAATGGTCCATGTGTTAATTGCCAATAGCCATTGAGATTCGCCACTTTGTGCCCTTTGATTTGTCCCCAAAGCATTTTTTTAGGTTGAGATATTACCTTGTGTGAAATGGTTTGCTTGGAGACAAGCAATCGTCTAAGTGTGGGGGAGTGATTCAGGCCTAATTGTACACTTTTTATCCCCATTTCTCTTTGACGTTTGTGGTAATTGAGCTCCATAAGGGGTGGTTTTGTGCTAGGTTTCTTGTGTTTCGATTTGTTTAAGAGTCTAACAGGTGAAACCAACCCCGGAGTCGAAAGTTGGAAGAAAAGGAGCAAAGATCGGGCAAAGAGGAGGATTTAGCCAGAGTTCACGGTCTAGCATTGGAGTTCACGGTCGCCAAGACCGTGAACTGGAACCACAAACCGTGAACAGTGAAGCGTCCGGAGGGGTTTCTGAGGTTACTGAAGCCAAGGCAGTTAACGGTCGCTAAGACCGTGAACTGGAACCACAAACCGTGAACCCGAGAAGTGAAGCGGTGCATTTTGATCCATCTCATTGAGTTCACAGACGCTTTCTGATGTTCATGACCGTGAACTGCGGCCGTGAACTGGGCACGATCTCAGTATAAATGGAGAGATGAAAGGAAAAAGAAAGGGAGCCCAAAGTGAGAGAAGCCTTCTTCTTCTTCAAACCCTAGAGAGAGAAGAGTCTAGGGTTTGCTCCAAGTGAAGATTTTGGAAGTTCCTCTTCTTTGGAGGATCTCTACAAGCATAAGGAGAGTTGGAGATGTCACAATGATGGTTTCTTTTTCCTCTTTTGTGTTCTTCATTTGTCTAACATGGAGTAGTTTCCCTTTTCACTTGCAGTTATTAATAAAGCATTCACCATATTTCGGTCAATTTGAATTACACAAATGTTTTCTAAGGTCGATTAAATTTTACATTATAATTTAATCAAATGTGAAGCATTTTAAAACTTAATTTTATTATTAGACCACACATTACAGAAGATTTATGTAATGACATTTATACCAATTGCAAATGGATTACACAAAACTTATGAACAAATATTTATTTTCTTTATATCAATTCTACAAACTTATTACATAAATTTTTCGTAATGATTAAGACAGTACGTAAAGCTTATAACAGAAAAATGATTTCTTATGTATCAATTAAATAAATACATGACATGTATTTTTCGTAATGATTGAGACATTAAGTAGAAGTTATGAGAATATTTAAGTTGAATGATTTGATTTCAACTTTATTATTAAATAAGTATATGAAATTATAAATATAATTAGTTAATTACCGTTGCGGAGCAATGGCCAAAATGCTAGTATATATTATAGGGTTAATGCCCTAGTTTGGTCCGAAGTTTGGCATAAGTGTTAGTTTTGGCCCAAATATTTGAATAAGACAGTTGTAGCCCACTTTTCAAATTATTGGACAAATTTGGCACGACATTTGGGTTGACCGTCAATACTAACCATCAAACATTCTCACTGTTAATGACTCAGCAAAATACAATTGATGTGGCTGCCACATCATTAATAATTAATTATTTCTATTATTTAATTTACCACATCATTAAATAAGGTAAAAACTAAATTTTTTTATTTAATGCCCACAATTAAGAGAGTTTGTATCCTTACTCAATCTCCTCCCCCGCAAACCCTTCGTCCTTCCAACCTTTCTCATCAATCGTCATATATGGAAAGCCGCCGCCACTCCCTCGTTGAATGTTCTCTTTTCCTCTCCGACCACTCTCTCCATCTCCCGGACCCTTTCCTCCGTTGCCGTCTCCCCAAACTTGACTTCCGTTTCTCTTCCACTTTGTCGAGTTCTAGTATAAAAAAATATAACCAAAATATTAGAACCAAAATCAAAGCTTATAGTCATAGATCGATAATCGGACATGAAAGGAGAGTCAACTCAGAGGCATTCACAAAGAAGGGGGTTCAACGACATGCGGGTTCTAACGGGGCGACATTATGTTGGTGGTGGTGGAGAATCGACGAGATCAGAGGCAGTGCTCCTCTTGTTTAATAATCGTTAGAGGCGATATGGAAACCATCTCACCATGCGCGAGAATCAGGCAGTGACAGACAAGGTTGGCGGGTAAAACGACGATGAAGGGGCCGAGTCGCTCACTAAATTAAAGGCGGAGCATGGGGAAGAAGAATCGAGGGGGTTTCCGGCCAGAGATGGCGGATGGCGATGATCGTCGTGCAAGATTTCCTGTCGGAGATTAGGATGGTGATTATCGCATGGCGCTTAAAATTTTGAAGGAAACGGAGGGCGGAGCAGGGAGATTAGATAGGGTTCTAGAGAAGAAGGATGGAGTGGGGTCTGGGGGAATGGGGAAAAAATCCAAAAATACACATGTTTCTAAAAAAATTCTCAAAATACACGCGTTATAATTTTTTCCCCAATCTACATGTTTAGGCAACATTGTGGTTGACGAACGCGGTGAGCACATGCACCGATGCTTCACCGCGGTAGAGCGGTGAATGGCCTGACCTACATTGAAGCTTCAAACGAACGTAACTTTACGCTCGGTTATCTGATCGTAGCGAAATTGTTTTTGATTCCGCATAATTTTTCAAAATCTTGCAAGCCGCAAACCGCCATAGTCCCGAAAAAACTTTATATGCTACCACGAACGAGCAATTTTTCGATTTGGTCAAACTTTGGACGGCCATAACTTTGTGTTCCGCAACCCGAATGTAATGAATTTCTTTTATTTCGAATAAATTTTTAAGGACTACAACTTTTAGTAGGAGAGTTCAAAACAGGAAATATTTGTGGATATACATGGTTTTGGCAATAACTTTGCCTTTAGTTTTCACAAATCCACATACATTCCGAAATTATGGCTATGATAAAAGTTGTAGTCCTTACGAATAAAAAAAAATTATGACGTTCGAATTGCGGAGCGCAAAGTTATGACCGTCCAAAGTTTGACCAAATTGAAAAATTGATATTTCGGGCTAGCAAACGATTTTTTTTGGGACGAAGGTGGGACCAAGACTCCTATGGCGCTTTGCGGCTTGCAAAATCTCGAAAAATTATGTGGAATCAAGAAAAATTTCACTACCATCGGATAACCGAACGCAAAGTTACATTCGTTTGAAGTTTCAACGCAGGACAAATCTTCACCGCGGTCGGGAAACGCGATGAAGCCTTCACCGCGCCCTCGGCGTTTTCCTCTGCCGCAGTGATGCAATCATCGCCTTCCTTTGTCGCGGTGATGCATTCACCATTTTCCTCTACCGCGGTGAATACCCAAACATGTGTAGATTGAGAATTTTTTTTATAACATGTGTATTGTGATATTTTTTCCGGGATTTGGGGGAGTTATTATTATTTTCTATAAAAGAAATTATGTAAAAGATGTAGAAGCGGCTGATGAGTTTCCCTTTTTCTTTTCTATTTTTTCAAATTAGTGAATGAAAATATGTGGACGCCACCTCAGCATCGGATGATGAGTCATTGACGGTGAGAGTTTTTGACCGTTAGTATTGACGGTCAACCCAAACGTCGGGCCAAATTTGTTCAATAATTTGAAAAGTGGGCCACAACTGTCTTATTCAACAATTTGGGCCTAAACTGACACTTACGTCAAACTTCGGGCCACAACTGTCTTAATATTTTGCACCCAAGAGTCAAGTATTCCACCTTTTAGGACCCATCAAAAGAATAATTTTTTTTTATATCTATACTATATTTGTTCCTATAGAGTGTAGACAACAATTGACTCGTTCTAACTACAACATCCCAATCGACGGCCAAGTATAACCGCCGACCGGGTGTAGCATAATGCAAGCGAGCAATAAGAATTTATCGTACCTCGAGGATCTAGGCTTACCCTACTTCAGGTTTAGGGTTCGTTATCTAGCCAACTTAGGATAGTGATTAATAGAATTAAACTAACTAACCTAGCTATTTACAAGGTTTGTAGCTCTCTTGGGTTGAATCGTCCTAGGTCCGGTGTTTGGATCAATGTTGGGTATCCTCCTAAATCGATAGACTCAAATACACTACAGTTTGGAGATGAACCCCCTCGGGAATGACCCGGCACGGCGAATCGATGGATGGGTAGTGCTCTATTCAACCTAGGGTTTCGTATAATGCTAGTAGACAGGTCGAATAAAATCCCTAGGGTACTACCCGGACAATATACGGTAGGAGTGACCCGAAGACGCCAAAAGGGGCTCTAAGGGGATTATCTCTCTCCTAGGTCAAAGCTCAAGACATGGAAATGGAAACCCAACTCATGCCATTCATGTAAACATCATCAATCAAGTAGAATCATCAATTCAACAAGAAATTTGTCACACACATCAACAAAAAACCAAAGTCAAGACCTAGGGTTCTTAAACACAAGCCTCCAATCAATCCAAGCCTTCTTCTAGGCTTGAACCCTTATCTTCAAGATCGATCCAAGCCTCCAATCAAGCTCCAAGATCACTCTCACTAGCACTCCCCTTTGGTGTTTTGGGCAAAACCCTAGAGAGGGAATTGAATTTCTCTCCAAGAAACAGCCCTCCTTTCTCTTTCCCCGCTTTTGTCTTCATATTTGCCCGAAAGTGACCAGTTCACAGCCGCGTTGGCCAGTTCACGGCCGTGAACACCTAAACGCGTCCGTGAACTCAGCGTCGTCTCCAAAACGCACCGCTTCACTCTCTTGGGTTCACGGTTAGTGCTCCAAGTTTAGGGACTTAGAGACCGTGAACTCGTCTCGCGGCAGTAACTGCATATTTCTCCCTAGACGCCATGATGAAAACCGTGAATTTGGATGTTTTTTTTACCACTTTTTAGCACTTTTCGACCTCCAATCGACCTGAAATTCGTCCTCGACCTTCCCACACGTGCTAGGATCTGAAATATATCAAAACAAGCACAATCTAGCGTGAAATATGTCGAGGGACGATGAAATGCAAAGCCAAACAATCAAGATATGAGGGGCAAAATGTGTACAATTGGACTCAAATCACCCCCCCCCCCCCACTTGAACGTTTGCTTGTCCCCAAGCAAACCAAGTATAAAACAAGGTAAGCTTGCAACTTCTCTTTTTCAACAAAATTTTTGAGGCATGTCATAGGGCACAAAACGAATGAATCACTATGGTTATTTGACACTGACCTATGGACAAAGACAAATTAATCATGACAACCACCACAAACGACATTCGACTGTATTAAAATTGTGCAAATGAACAGTTCTCACATTATTCACGAACCAACACACAAACATGCCTCGACGACTCACCATTCACAGTTACTCATGCATGAAGATCACATCATAAGAACGAAAGATCGAGCAACCTAGGTCCTCACCGGGGTATAAGAAATGAACAAAACATGATGAATGAATCACTCACTCTCGACCAGTGGGGTCAGGACCATTTGATGCAAAAGAAGTGCATATTCACGCCAATCCTAACGTCCCTTTACCAATGACGGTAACCTCTAAATTTTAGAGTTCACAAGATGGGTGTCATTGCTAGCTTGTCCGGAGGTCTTAGACACGGATTCAAATAAATGGTTAGGGACCAAGACATGGGGTAAAAGGTTGTTTGGGTGGTGTCAAACACAACATGAGCTTGCATATCTTCAAGCTAAAACCATCAAAAGGTTCTATGGTTTCGATTAAGAACCTTTCCTACAATTAACGACCACTAGCTTTGGACAAAAACCACACTTCCCACAGTTCCAAAACAAAACCAATCACCAACCCAATCACAACTATCTTTCTTTCTAAATTTGCTATTCAATTTCAAGCACAAGAGTGTGGTAGGAGAACAACATGTAAGTGTTCCTAAAGCTTGCATGCTAAGCAACACTTCTAAGAGCATGTTCAAAATTTATTATATTTTTGGTGGCCTCTCTCTTTTCTCCTTTTCCCTTTTATTGATTTCTTTTTCTCTTTTTTTTTTCTTTTTTCTTTTCTGTAATCCTTTCCTTGAGGGCTATAGAGAACTAAAAACATGCCACATTTTGTAACTTAAGGAACAATGCACCCATTTACGAACTAGCTCCACACTCACTTCACTTCTTAGCAAAACCATAAACAAATCACTCATGTGGAACCTCGTTTAAGCTCAAATGGTATGAATGGAGCTTACAAACACAAGGGTGACTCGATAACGGTGTAGACACGAAGAAAGTAGGGTCGCTCTATCTAAATCAATCAAGCTCAAGTAACGTGAGCTACCTAACACTAGAACGACCCTTAGACACACGGCTCAAAAGGGTTGACTAAGGGATAATATGATCGGGTCGGTCAAATTTTGGGTCGTGGGCTAATCCTATGCCTCCATCTTCCTCGCTAGCAACAACGTGAATGCTACGCATCATGTAAAGGGGGATCTATCACACAAGAATGAAACGAACGACACAAGTCTCACATGGCTACCTAGGTGAACAATCATTCATTCTCACACCCTAAACTCGATGCATAGGCAACTATGAAAAGCAAGCAATCGATTCAAACATCTATCGGTTCACAAACATATGAGAAATGAACCTATTCACAAACCTAATACATGTCTCAATCATAATCATAGGCAACTATGAAAAGCAAGCAATCGATTCAAACATCTATCGGTTCACAAACATATGAGAAATGAACCTATTCACAAACCTAATACATGTCTCAATCATAATCATAGGTTGCACATAATCACAAGCAAATCATCCATAGACAATGCTAATAACCACGAGATTCAAAACAAATCACCACAAGGTGCCACTATGATCATGCAAATGTAGAAGTTGTTATGCTTGGAGCCCTCAAATTTTAAAAATTTGGGCATACAACTAGGCTCCAAGCATTCAAAATCACACAAAACATTCACACACACATGCATAATGGACTACTCCCCCATACTTAAGCTTGACATTGCCCTCAATGGCGTAAAGTAAGGAGGTAGAACGATGTTACCGGATACGATGTGAATGTTGGTGGTAGGGATCAGAGGTCAGGCGAGATCCGGAAGAGCAAGGAGATGGCGAAACACCACGAAAATCTATCCAATTGTCTTCTTATTGGAGCCGAAAGCAAACAAACCGATGGTAGATGGGTTGCCTCCCACCAAGCGCTTCTTTAACATCGTGAGCCGGACGGTTGCTTCTCAAGTTTCAGTCCACCCTAGAACCTCCTTGAATTTGAGGTTCTCATCGGTGAGGTGATGTCTCAAGTCACGAGCATTGGACGAGTCCATAATTGAGGGCTCGTGAGCTTGATCGACTTTGGGGCTCCACCCACGAGACCTCTTCTTCTCCTTTTCTTCTTTCTTCTCTTTGCCCCACATCATCGATTTACCAC